GGCAAGATCTTTGTGGCATACTCGCTTGATGCGGGAGATGAACGCAAAGTTGGGAATGACGGTGGTGGGGAGGTGATGGCGGAGGGAGCGGATGTATTGGACGAAGCGGTCTGTGGGACCGGTTTGGCGGAGGTGGCAGAATTGTTCGAGGTAGTCGTCAATGGTTTTCTGGGGGYGGAAGGTGGCAGCGAGAAGTTTGGCCCGTTGGAGGAAGGAATGACGTGGTCCTCCAGAGGCTCGGCGGTTGCTGACTTCAGTCATTCACCATTTGGCGGCATTGCCGAGGAGGCGGGCGGTGGCAATGGGGAGCCAGTGGGCAAGGGGCATGTGGTGGAGGTGAAAAGAGTTCTGGAGCTGGGTTAGGAAGAGGAAAACGTCCTCGTGGGGGAGGCCGGAGAAGGACATGATTTCGCCGGATCGGAAGGAACGGGGGATTTCCCCGTCGCGGTGAACGATCTGCGAGAGGGTGTTGAAGCTGAGGTTATCGGGGGTGGTGTCGTAGCAGGTGTGGTCGATTTGGTTGTTGTCCTCAAGGAGGTGGTTGGGGGGGAGTTGTGGCATTGCGGGGTAAACCCCCGAGGTGCCTTGGGAATAGGTGGGACGGATGGTGGGGATGGTGGAGGTGGTCATGATGGGTTGGAAGAGGGTTTGGGAGTGCGGGGAGGGGAGAGGGGTGACATGGATGGGCGAGGAATGAGGCGATGTGCTGGATACGCCGGATGAGGGAGGAGGTGGAGGGAACGGGACGATGGTGGAGGTTGATGGGTTGATGGATGTGGTGGTAGAGGTGGTAGGAGTGGAGGAGGTCGGCGGGGGGGTGTTGCTGGAGGCGGCTGTGGAGGAGGGAGTGGTTTGCACTGTGGAGGTTAAAGTGGTTTGCACTGTGGAGGAGGGAGTGGTTTGCGCGGTGGTGACGACCGTGATGGAGGGGATGGTCCCTTCGAGCGTGGTGACGCGGTCGCATATGGACGATATGTTGGCCTTTATGTCATCGAGAGAGGCGGTGACGGAGGTTCGGATGGTGTTGAGTGCGTGGAGGATGGCGGAGAGGTCGAGGGTGGCGGTGTTTGCTGGTGGTTGTTCGCCTGCGAGGTTGCGGGCGATGCTATGAACTAAGTCGGTGCGGATGTCAGACATGTTGATGGAGAATGCGGCCATGTCAGGGGAAGAGGGGGTGGAGGACGTGGCCTGAACGGGTGTGGAGGATGCCGCAGCAGCGGTGGTGGAAGCAGCGGTGGTGGAAACAGCAGTGGTGGTGGCGACGGCGGCACGTTGGGAGTTCTTGGTTCGGCGTGGTGGTATGTGGAGGGGGGGGGGGAATCCCTTATTTATTTATCAATAAATTCAAAAATAAAGATAATCGCCAAGTTTTTTTCAAAAATAAATAAAAATAAATAAATAAATAAATATAAAATAAAATAAATGCTGAACAGAAAGAGATAATTAATTTTGAAAAAATAAATTCTGATTTAGATTTAAATTTATTTTCAAGAAAACATGAAATTTCGAAAGAAAATATTTTTGAATTACGGGGAAAATAATAATAATAATAATAATAATAATAATTCTGAAAAGAATTAGGAAGAGGAAATTTTTAAAATATTTGGCAAGAATTTTTCAAAGGAAAATGTCGACATTTCAGAAAAAGGATAATTAATTTCGAATAAAGAGATTAATTCAGTCGTGAATTAATTGAATTTAATCGAAATTAATTGAGGGGTTTAGAATAACATTTTTAAGAGAAAGTTAGTTCCGAATTGTAAGAAAAA